AAAAAAAAAAAAAAAAAAAAAAAAAACCAAGTTTAACCTAACACTTCGACTATCTCATGAATTTCAACCTGCGGAATTTATTGGCTCTTGTAAACACATAAATATAGCATGCTGCGATCAAATATATCGATACATCACATTTTTTCCACATTTTTGCATAATTAACGAACATTTATTTAATTTCGGAGAAACAGCTTCGCGGCGAACGCAAGCGGGATCTTTACATGTAGCTGCGGCTTATAACTTTCTAACGTCACTTACCAAATCTCAATTACCGAGCTTAACTTGAGAAGTAGCGTCAGCTTCTCTCCTTTCTCTCTCTCTCTCTCTCTCTCTCTCTCTCTATTCGCCTCGGCATTCGTGCGGTACTAACTTCCGCCGTGGATGGAGGTGTGCATACGTTTCCATTGGTCGATCGGGCATGAATTTAGACGGCGCCTCCGGATAATCCCGGAGATTGAGACAATATGCTGCGTGCATGCACGCATGGTACGTACGTACGTTGGCTCGGTACCGCGGCCGAGAGAACGAGAAACCCAGTTTAACCCGGGCAGGTTGATTACGCGCGGCAGGTGTCACGCGCTCGGAACTTCGCCGGAAAGTTTCGTCTAACCGCGCGAAATATCTTACAAATTACGGGGAGAGTTGTCGCGCGCCGCGTAACCCGCGCTCGCGCGCCCGTCGATGCCGCAGTTAATTGCACTCGCGCGCGAGCAACCGGCAATGCGCCCTCCCACAACGCAAAAACCCGGGGGTTGGAAGGGCGCGCCGCAAGAGCACTTGACGCGGGCCGCAAAGCGCGCTGCACTTTTTGCCGATTACAACGCGTTTCTCTCTCTGGCGAAACTCCCCCGGACCGCGTAACACAACACGGCGCATCTCGGTAGAACGCAATTATACACGAATTTACGCACGTGATCGATATATCTGTCATAGAATATACCTTGGATGACGGGTATTATAATGTAATTCAATTGTTACAGGTAGAACGCGATAATGAATTGCGTTTTTTTTTCCTTCGCTTGACATATTGCTGCGCGATAGAAATTAGTTTAATTTGAAAAGATTGTGATGGTGTTTCAGTCATTTCGAGGCATAGAAATAACCGCGCTTGCGGTTTTTTTGGGGTTATTAGGTCAACTCATTATCTCTCAGGCCAAGGATTGAGCAGTAATAAAATGGCGCAGTTCCGCAAAATCGAACCCTCCTTCCCTTCCCTCCCCCCCTCCCCCTGCGGGAATTAATCTATTCTGGCGCGATCATTCAATCTTCTCGGATTGCAGTTTTTTTATATTCTCGAGCTCTTCCTCTCTCTCTCTCTCTCTCTCTCTCTCTCTCTCTCTCTCTCTCTCTCTTTCACTCTTACACGCACGCGCACTACACGACACAGTTCCACACGAATATGCTCGGGATAAAACGAATCTGGTGAGCTCGACATTTGATTTCATCGAATGACCTACGCCGCGGATGGCTTTTCATGAAATCTACGTTCCCACATAGCGATCAATTGATTCAAAAATAGGGTAGGTCGTCAATTCGTCGCGGCTGCCAAATCGAAGCGCGCAACGATCAGCGGTCGATTGTAATCGCGATGAATTGCCGCGGAGTTACGATGCCTACATACGCCCGTTACGTTTGTAACGAGTAAAACTAATATCGAAGCAGGTTTTTCGGAAATGGATCGTTCGATATGTGTACGTATATAGAGAAGTTCATTATTCGAAAGAATCGGTAGCAACATTTTCGATAAAATTTGCTCGACGCCAACACGCTCGGCGAAATAACGCCGTAAAAAGGATCTTGAAATGTGATCACGCATGTGATAACCGGCAATCTATAACTTGCAAAAAGGTTTTCATAGAAAAAAAAAAAAAAATGGAAATATTACAACACACAAATGCGACGCGCACACGAACGAATATATTAATAAGTGACGATATCACGCGCGATGCGAAATGCATTTACGTTATTTTTAGCTTTGCAAAATATTCTCCACGAAACACACATTGAACAGTATAATTTTCTGTGAATACTTTTGAATGCGTGGATACTTTTGCCGAGGTACAATAGAATTTTATGTGGATAATATTTTTTTGTTCCGGAAAAAAGAATTTGCTGATTGATTTTTCGAAGTACGCTGCTGCGTAAAATCCATGTCCAATTAAGAAGTTTGTATTTTTCATTACGCTGTACGTATACTAGGAAATCAACAAAAGAAATCGCAAAAATATGTATTGTAATATCGAAAAAAAAAAATAAAAATAAAAATAAAAATCGTCGGTAGAAAAGAGGAA